AGGAAAATAGACTTTAATGATATTACAGTACAGTATGAAGCTATAAAGTGGCGTTTTAACCCACCAGCTGCACTCCTCAAAAGTCATTAACCTTTGTGTCCCTAGATTCAGCAGACGATGACGCCCTTACCCCAAATCACTTGCTATTAGGCTCATCGAGCGGCTACAAACCAATATCAGATCACAACACCGATCTAAGGCTGCGATGGCATCAAACGCAAACATTTGCTGATAAGTTTTGGAAACGATGGGTAAAGGAATATACACCAACACTAACTAGGCGCAGCAAATGGTTCACTAAACGCCCCCAAATTGCCGTTGGTGATGTAGTCGTCGTCATTGATGATCAACTACCGAGGAACCTGTGGCCATTAGTGACGTAATAACAGCCAAAGATGGGCAAGTTCGCAGAGCTAACATTTGGACACCAAAAGGAACTATGATCCGACCAGTCGCCAAAATAGCAGTCTTGGACGTCGGATTTAAGGAAAGTGAACATCCGAAGGCCCCTTTGGGGGGCCTTTCATAATGGTTGAAAATGTATTTTCTCAGCGTTACAAACACATGTCGAAATTCGAATAACCTCTTGTTTTACCCTTGCAGAGAGTATTATAATTTCAGTCAAAGTTTTCAATTCAGTGCAGAAGACATTTCCGGCTCTAGTGAAATATGTACATATATAAAATCTTGAAGAGCATTACCAGGCGGGTCGATCTAGCCAGAATAAGAATTACGGTTTTAGTTTACAAAAATCAGACGATTATATAATAGCTGCCACATAAACATTGAAAGGTAGTTGTTTCATAAAACTTGCCGCAGTTTGCTAAGAAGTTTATGTAGTATAGGAGTAGTTAGCGCCGGAATTTTTAAAAGTATTAATATTTTAGAATCGATTTATTGATTTTGATTTTTTTAGGTCTTTATCCCAGAATTAAAAATTCCAGATTTTGAAACAACTGTTTTAGAATGCTGTACAAAGTTCACAGAGAAACAGAGTATTGAGCATGTAATTAGAGAATATTTTGTTCACTGTTAATAATGCTTGTTCTATAAATTTTAAGTCTATTCGACTGAATAAAGATTCTTATAGAGTTTATGAATATTGCCAAGATCCATCTTGCGACTATTACAAGTTTCAGGGATTATATAATGAAATGTTCCAATTTATTCAAACAGGATGGAGGTCAAACATACCATTAATGCCAAAACAACTACAACTCAATGCAGAGCCATAAATCGTTTTCATGCGAAAAGGATATTAAAGGCACCGTTTGAATTTATAAATAAATTGGTCAATAAAGCCAACACAAACAGGGCGCTTATTGGCAATGATCAAATGATCAATAAACATTTATCTTATTATAGAAATTTAATATCAGAAATGAACGCTAAAGACGACTTTGAAAAGAATCCCTTTAAAGACGCCTTTGATATGAAATGCAACAATTTTTCACACTATTCAGTTTTAATCGACAAAGCTGGAAGAGTTCTTATGGAATAAGGAACACATAAGGGTTCTTCTCCATAATATCAAAAAAGACACCATGCATATAGACGCTACAGGTTGCGTAGTGCAACCAATGAAATTTGTGAAGAAAGGATTCTTCTCTATTTCATTAGTTGCACATATTCCAGAGTATCACTTGGTGTACCCTCTGGCTCATGCCATTTTATCCAATCATTGTGCCTATGATTTTGTAAAGACAATAAATTCAAGCTGCCAATATGCAAACGCATTATAACTGATGTTAGTTTTGCTATTATTCAAGCAATTTTAAATGAATTTAATCATTTAGACATTGTTCAATACAATAGTATGTGCTTTCGCTTTTTATATGGAGAAAGTGACGTATTTCCTAGTGTATGCGTTCAATTTTGTACAAGTCATTATGCAAAAATAATGTGTGCGGATATTGACCGAACCGTAGGACTGGCAAATATTGAGTTAAGAGATTTTATTAGAAATGCTCTTGGTCTCGGATATAATATTATTACAATTAAGAAGTTAGAGGAATGGTTTTGCAACATTATAACCATTCTTCTTTCTCCATTTGTAAATAGTTATGTTATAGATTCTATATCCTATTTATCAGGTGATACCTTACCCACTTTTGATTTGAGCCAGCATGAAGAGTCTGCTAAGCCAAATTTTAGAGACCGCGAGGATGCATTAAATACGATTGCAGGCCATGGTGAATTTAAAAAGCGATTCCCCTTTATTGCTCTGAAAATCACCGAAACTGTCCAAATTAACATATATCATCATCCTGAAAGGGTAGATGTTATTTTGGGGAAATATATTGTTTTAGCTCCTTTTTGAACTAATGTTATGGGAATTTTTATTGACTAGAGCAATAAAAGGCACAGCAACGGTCCAATTTAATCATTTTCTAAGACATTGAACCATAGTGTCATTAAATCAAAGCAGGGATTAAAGTTAGGAAGGTTCATCCGAAAATTCGACGACCTTTCAAAATCCGTGGTTCGGCAAGTTGAGCTTGCGCATCCGGAATATTCTTGTTCCCCTCTTACTCATGGTAAGTTAATAAAAGCAAGGCCAAATAAACGTGCCTTGAAATAAAATCTGTTTTAAAAGAAATTTACAATAAAAATCTGTCAAAAATAAAAGAAAGTTGGCAAAGAAAAGGAATAAAGAAGCTTAAAGTAGGGTTATTTAAAAGTGATTTTTCCGGACTAAATAAAGTTCGTGAAGAACATATAAAAGACCTTCACTTAAAAGAGTCGAATGAATTAATTCAATTGGATCATTCTTACGTACTCGAAAAAAGACAATTTAAAATGGAAGATATATTGAAAAAGATTATCTTTCAAGTTTTCACATAAATAATAGCATTACGAAAGATGTTAATATTTACATGCTAACATGTAAGACACTGTTCGAGTCTGTACATGCGTCAAATAGTTCCCATTTATATTTCATATCGAACTAAATGATTTACTTACACTGCAGAATACAAAGTGGCTGTTTAACTTTATCTTAGACGCCGCTTTAACTGCTTTAGTTATTATACCCTTGCAGAGGGTATTATAATTTTGGTCAAAAGTGTGCAACGCAGTGAAGGAGGCATCTCCGACCCTATAAAGTATATATATTCTTGATCAGGATCACCTCCTGAGTTGATATAGCCATGTCCGTCTGTCTGTTTCTACGCGAACTAGTCTCTCAGTTTTAAAGATATCGAATTGAAACATTGCACCCTTCTTTCCTTTGCACGCAGTATATAAGTCGGAACGGCCGGGATCGGCCGACTATATCCTATAGCTGCCATATAACTGAACGATCGGAAATGCCATAACTTTGGTGTTTGTAAAGTTAGGAATTTGGGATTTTCTATTGGATTTATATTTGGCCAATCAATCTGACCTACCAAATTTTATAAGGATCGGCCGACTATATCCTATAGCTGCCATATAACTGAACGATTGGAAATGCCATAACCTTGGTATTTTTAATGTTAAGAAGTTGGGATTTTTTATGAGTATTAAGAATGCATCATATGAATAATTTTGGAGAATATAATTTACAAAGTATTCTGCAAGGGTATATCAACTTCAGCTCCGCCCGAAGTTAGCTTTCCTTTCTTGTTTTTGTGTGTTTTTTGTAGACATTTTTAAGCAACAATTTATATTCTTAGATCGTTTTGGAATCACCAAAAATGGGAAAAAGTTTATAAATTATTAAAATAATATACTAAGTAATAGAAGATTTAATAAATTAATTAGTTATGGAGATTCCTTAGCTAATATATGTTTGCATTGCTGCAAACCGAACACCATTGATGCTGAAGAATTGTACATCAAATGTGGGCGAACCATTTGCAGTGAATTCAAATTTAAAATCTATAAAATCGCAAATAAATATATTATTTGCCTTAAGCCTAGTATCCTGATCGACGAAAACCGTACGCCAGTCATGAGAGAGAGCGAGAGGCAAACAGCTGGCGTTCACTTTTCGTCGGGCCTTTTTTTCACGTCGGTCTCCTGATCGACGAAAAAAATACCAGAAAATTCCATAGCGTTGCCAGTCTGCGGAAATAAACTTTGGGTGAACCCTAGCGAAAAGATTAAAAAATTTAATCTTTTGGCGTGCGCTTCTCACTGAACATTATAAGAAATGGAGAAAAAACTCAAAAAACTCACAAAAGTCGATTGCAGGTGTTTACATGTGAGGACAAAATAACATTAATACTATCTGGGGTGCCTCTTGTCAAAGCAAAATGTTTTTTAAGTCCAGAATGTACGAAAAAACACAATAAAAGTGCAGCTATGAACTTTAAATTAGCAAATAATTATCAGTATATTAAAAAAAAACAACTGTTAAATTTAAATTGTATTGTTTTTTAATTTCTTTGTACAGCGGCAGACTTGTCTTGCCAAGGTATTTGATACGATATTTGAATTTTAACTGCATGTCAACAAACCCAGCTGATTGACAGTACGACCATAGCACGCTTAAATCTGATGAACTCTCAAACTTTTGGTCACACTGGAAAGATTAAAGTTTTTACGCTAGCGTAATCGTTTGTCGATCTGGATACTAGGCTTAAAGCGATTTTGATTTTTATAAAATTTTAAGTTTATATCCTTGAAGAAACGTCCTTTAAGCCGATGAACTGTGAATTGAGATATTCTCCAAAGTCGATTTTTCAAATGCATTTTTGACCTCCAATATGCTTAAATTTTCATATATATATATTTTTTTTTTTAATATTTTTGCATCTAAAAGTTTTTAATTACGTGTATAAATAGCAAGAAAATCAAAAAATAACAACAGCCTCAATGTTCCACTTTCCACCATTCCGCCATCGACGCTAATTTGACGCACATCCATATTTGAACGCGCGCCAACCCAAGGGACAGATGGCCACACCAAAAAACTCAGAATCAACCCTGGAATCCCGATACCAAGTTATCGGCCAGGAACGGGTATAAAACGAGGCACCCAGACCAGAATTGGTCAGTCGTTCTCCGGCGGTCGATCGAAACATAGGGTAAGAAACTATATAGAGGTTTCATTTGCTCTGCCCGCGCTCTCGAGTGACTTTGCCTGTGATGCCACGTAGGGGAAAAACGGAAAAAAGAGAGTTTTTGAGATGTCATGTTATTATCTGAACGATAAGTGCCTTCATTTAGAAGGTCAAAACCATCCCTCATTTGTTTTAAAAGCTCGGATGGTGCAATAGCATTAACAACGTTCTAGTCATTCTCAACACATTGATCCCATGGCTTACAGTGTTTGAAAACACCTGTTTCGCCAATTTAACACTCATTTTTTGAAAATTATTTGGATCAATGTGCTTATCCGATAACTTTGGTGCCAAACGAGATACACCGCATGCGTCAATGTTGTAGAACTCTTCAATTACCTTCCAAGACGCCACACTTTTAGATGAAATTTCATCAAATTTCAGTGGGTCTGATGGTAATGAGATATCTCTGTTCAAGAAATTATTTCTAATACTCTTAAACAAATGAACAAAATCATAAATATATTCTGGCGGACTAGATAGTAAGGAATCCAATTTTGTAAATGCTAGACCATTTACTGAGCCTTGATCGCCAACTATAGCTGTTACCTTAAGGCCAATTGATACGCAACAATCAACGGCTCTTTTAAGGATTTTTGCATAGTGGTCGCCTCGAATGAAATTATTTACAAAAAATACGCCCAAAACATATTTCCAAGGTTTAACCTGGCCGCGTATCATCACGGCCAGCATACCCTCAGCTGGAGATGAATATTGGTCATTTTCAGAATAACCTCTCCCAAGTCTGTAAATCCAACCACTTGGTCAGACTTTGGGACATATTCAAGTCCTGACTTGATCGACATTTCGTCGAAGAGAATTGTGCAATTCCTATCGGACTGATTCATTTTGTTTACAAATTCTTTTAGTATAACAATATGATCTCCGGTAAAGCCAGGCTTAAATTCCTTTAAGGGCAACCATCTTCTTAAAGATGCCTCTGATGGCATATTGAAGCCCAAATTTAATCTTAAATTATTGTATGCCTTCGGGCTGTGCATATAAATTTGCAACAAGAGCCGTTTTTCCGAATCGGTGCAATGAATTCCCTTTTTCTTTGAAATGATGCTCTGGAATGTTATGACATTTTCATTCATTCCTGCGGCATTTTCTTTGCTCTGAATTTTACTTCCGCACAAATTGGAGCATTCTAAAAATTTGCTTTTTAAAATTTCAAAATCTTCAAATGAAGTTAAAAGTTTAAGGCGACCAGCGCTTTCGACTTCCTCTGCAAATTTTTTTTTTTTTCTAGCTCCAATATTTGTGAAAGCAAAGAATTCATTTTCGCCTGCAACATTGATGATTTTACTTGGAACATAATTGTTTCCAAAATTAAATCATAGTTGCGGCTTTCTAATGCGTCGTTTTTGTTACAAACGGCCAAATTTCTTTTAGAAAGAGCATAATTTTGCATTTCTAAAACAGAATTGCATTGCTCTACAATATTTATTTGAATTAATATTTCGTTTGATCGATTTGCTTTAGAAATTTCTTTTTTTAACGAAATATTAAGGGATCTTAAACAATGTTGGTCCTTTAACAACTTCTTGTTTTTGTTTTAAAGACTTTGTCATTGAACTAGCTTTTCTCCAAGAAAAGCTAGGAGAGCTCAATCCTTTTGGTTTACATTTGGTGTAAACAGGAGAGCTCAATCCTTTCTCTAATACATTTGTAAATGCAGGAGAGCTCAATCCTTGTGATTCCAAATTATTTGGAGAGCTCAATCCTTTTTTTAATACATTTATAGATAGAGGAGAGCTCAATCCTTTGGATTCAAAATAATTAGGAGAGCTCAATCCATCTTCTAAAATATTTAATTTATTAAGCGACAAGCCTTAAGTTACTTGTGTTGACTTATTTTCCAATTTAATTTTAAAATGAGGTTGGTGCTTCTCGCACAACAAAACAACATCTTTTTCATTATTGTGAATTTTTTTCAGTTCAAAGAATTCTCTAACTGATACTACATTAAGGCCTATTAGGCCTATAGCACTTCGACAAGCCTTAATTGCACACATAGCATTTTTACTTTTTTGCCAAGGGCTGAACATGGGTTCATGCACTGGCTTATAACCTAAATAATAATAAAAAAATTAGTAATCTTACATAAATATAAATAAATATAATTAGATAACTTAAATTAAAATCTAAAAAATGGAATAAATACTCACCCAACATTTCGGTCGGAACACTTCCCTTCCTCAGAGTTCCACCTGAGAAGCATTCCGACCTGAAGTGTGCTTGGCACACCCGAGCTCGCTTGGCTGCGTAGCTCAATTTGAGGTTTTCCAACCATTTCATCCTGTTTCCCTCCTTTGGGAAACAAAAGGCATTAATATGCCCCACACAGTTGTCCACTATGCACTGCTTTATACTGAAAATAAATAAAAGAATAAATAAATAATTACAAAAAATAAATAATAAATGAAGTATATAAGTAATTTAAAAAATAATAATAACAACTAAATTCTGTTTGTATTTGAAGTACAACAAAAATTTAATTTTCTTCAAATTTTGTTCTGTCATTGAATTCGCGCACAACGAAATGTAAACACGAAGACAAAAACTGAGAACAAACTTCACACACATACAAAGAAAAGAAGGCAGCTATTTTTCGGGAAGCGCTACTTACACATTTTCCGAGTCCATTTTCCAGTGACTTCGGTAATTTTTTGCTGTTGAAAATAGAAATAAGAAATATTTGATTAATACTAATTTACTATTTCTAATTATATTTGAATAAAATTATTTTTCACTTATCTTTTTTCCGAACTCGCTGCAACAAAATTTTTTTCAATTGTCAATGTCTCAGCTGAAGGCAAAGAAATTGAACGCTATTTATTCAATTCAATGTCCACATTCCACATGGGACTGAATTGAACGTCTACATTTCTTATGAGACTGAATTCAACGTATACATTTCTTATGGGACTGAATTCAACGTCCACATTTCAGATGGGACTGAATTTAACGTCCACATCTCAGACGGCAGAAAATATAGGAGAGAAAATCTGTTATTTGGCATGTTATTCTTTTTCTCTCATGTTAAATTTTAACATTAAATTTAAAGAGAATAACATGCCAAATAACAGATTTTCTCTCCTATATTTTCGAGTTATTTTATTTCGTCGTCGGCAAAACACGAGAGAACCATTAAGACATCGTGTATGGCTGAGCGAGACGTCGAACCTCGAAGGCAGAACGAACAACTGGTTCATACTGAAAATCTGCTTGGCGGTTCGAAGTGTGGTGAATGCATTGAAAGTAAACAAACTGATGTTCTGCAGAGAAATCATTAAAAGAATAAGAATTAATAAGGATTCCGAATTACCATCGATTTATATGCAACCCCTGGGCTACATTTTCCCAAAAATCAAAATTTTTTACAAATTAAGCCATATATAAACACATTTTTTGAATTTTATTTATGAAACAACGTTGCTAAGTGTTATTTGGGTTCTTTAAAGTGTTGATTGCGTTCTTTAAAAGTACTAAAATATCATAAATCTATCAAAATAAAACCAAATTTTTTGAATTCAACCCCTACTTGCTGTACTCTTCAATCGCACGCAGCTCTTACGGCGGTTGCATCCTATTCCTGGTCCCTCGCACATGTTCGAACAGCTAAATTTTCCCCACACCGTTCAAACACGGGCGTCGAGAAATCCACGAGAAATCATTTAAAAGGTCAAAACCATCGCCCATTTGTTTTAAAAGCTCGGATATTGCAATAGCATTAACAGAACTTTCTAAGGTTCCAGTCATTCTCAACACATTGATCCCATGGCTTACAGTGTTTGAAAACACCTGTGTCGCCAATTTAACACTCATTTTTTGAAAATTATTTGGATCAATGTGCTTATCCGATAACTTTGGTGCCAAATGAGATACACCGCATGCGTCAATGTTGTAGAACTCTTCAATTACCTTCCAAGAAATTATTTCTAATACTCTTGAACAAATGAACAAAATCATAAATATATTCTGGCCTCGGACTAGATAGTAAGGAATCCAATTTTGTAAATGCTGGACAATTCATTGCGCCTTGATCGCCAACTATAGCTGTTACCTTAAGGCCAATTGATACACAACAATCAACGGCTCTTTGAAGGATTTTTCCATAGTGGTCGCCTTGAATAAAGTTATTTACAAAAAAGACGGCCAAAACATATTTCCAAGGCTTTACCTGGCCGCGTGTCATCACGGCCATCATGACCTCTGCTGGAGATGAATATTGGTCATTTCCAGAATAACCATCTCCCAAGTCTACAAATCCAACCACTTTGGGACATATTCAAGTCCTGACTTGATCGACATTTCATCGAAGAGAATTGTGCAATTCCTATCGGACTGATTCATTTTGTTTACAAATTCTTTTAGTATAACAATATGATCTCCGGTAAAGCCAGGCTTAAATTCCTTTAAGGGCAACCATCTTCTTAAAGATGCCTCTGATGGCATATTGAAGCCCAAATTTAACCTTAAATTATTGTATGCCTTCGGGCTGTGCATATCAATTTGCAAAAATATCCGTTTTTCTGAATCGGTGCAATGAATTCCCTTTTTCTTTGAAATGATGCTCTGGAATGTTATGACAAATTGGAGCATTCTAAAAATTTGCTTTTTAAAATTTCAAAATCTTCAAATGAAGTTAAAAGTTTAAGACGACCAGCGCTTTCGACTTCCTCTGCAAATTTTTTATTTTTTTCTTCTAGCTCCAATATTTGTGAAAGCAATGAATTCTCTTTCACCTGCAACATTGATGATTTTTCTTGGAACAGCATTGTTTCCAAAATTAAATCATAATTGCGGCTTTCTAATGCGTCGTTTTTGTTACAAACGGCCAAAGAGCATCATTTTGCATTTCTAAAACCGAATTGCATTGCTCCAATTCAATATTTTTTTGAAATAATATTTCGTTTGAGCGATTTTCTTTAGAAATGTCTTTTTTTATCGAAATATTG